ATTTGCCAGGATAAGTAGACGTGTAGATGATGAAATATCAGGTAGGTGTAAGGTTTACAAAGAAGTACAAAGATGAATTAAAGGACACTCCATTTGCTAATCCTAAGTACAGAGCAGGTAAGCTGAAAAGTAAGTTTAAAAAGCATGAAGCATATAAGGGTAAACTATCCCTTTGTGAAGCAAGCGCTAAGGGAAAGTTCGAAAGCTTTTTGGTTTATAGTACTGGAATGAGACTAGACAAGGCAATACAAAGTACTCATGAGCTTCATTCTGTTAATACAATTTCTGATGTAGCACTTTTCCTCCGCAGAATAATAAGCAGTGCATTTGAAGAGTTTAATGTTATTCCCCGGCCCTCAACCGCAGAAGCCATTATATAGATGACTAGATTCCCACTGAACTAGAGAAGTTCCTGAACCCTTTGTTGAGTGGAAATCCATCTCGACCGTCGCAAAGAGTGACTAGACTTGTCAGATCTCTTGGGTAAGATTATGTAGGGCAGTCACAAATGGAAAGTGGAAAATGTCCAAACACATTCTGGTATGGATGACTCTGAGACATCTCTTACGCAGTGCTCAATCGATCACACTCATGAATCGCCTTGTTCACTCAGAAAGCTATTCATTTTCACTTGAGCTTGAATCTGCCATAGCAAAAGCGCTAAAGCAGACTTCCAGTATTCTACCTATACAGGTAGTCCGCCATCCCGTGGAGCCATCAGTCTTTCATTCAGACTTTGACAATTTCGACCAACACAGTTCAAGCTTAAGTGGTTCTGGCTCTGTCCACACAGCCCAGGGACTATGCTGCAGGAGATTTCTAACAATAAAACAGTTGAATCTTCAAAAAGCACAGTACCCTCAGTAGCACGTACATGTACCAAAGAACGTTCAATTACTCCCGATATCTGACCTACCTTGCTGTATTCTTCGGAAACATTACAGATTCACATCCTGGTACCATGACATTGCTCGAAATAGGTGCAATGGGTGTTGCCAGGTCACTCATTCCAGGGAACCGATGTGCTGTCGACAAGACAATGTAGGACATAATCATGAAGCATGACAAATCTCGCGGGGAAGGGGGGGGGTTGTAGTGGTGTCGGTCTCTCTGGCATAATAGAGAACTATAGTGCATATCAGAGGTGGGCTCGAACACATGCAGATATGACGTTTGAGGCTCACCGTGGAAATAAACACAGAGAGCAACAATCGACTCAGATAAGGAAAAGTGAGGGATGTGTAAACAAAAAGAGCCATAGATGATGTAAAGAGCTTCCTCAATCCTGTTGATATTGATGACAAGAATGGATTGTACGTTTTCTCTTCCGGTGCCCGCGTTCCAGCTGAGGTTGAGAAAGATGTCATGCATGCAGTTACAACATGGAAAGACCAGAAAGCGATTAGAGAAAAAGACATTGTTCTCTGACCCCATCAAGAACCCGAAGCTCAAAACCGTGGCAGAGACCAACGAGAAGTAATATAGTACAAGCAACAAGGGGACATTGCTTTCCAGCTGATGGTAAAGGCACAAAGTTCTGGCAGCCAACTTGATCTACGGGAAATCATGAATATTATTTGGCCCCTGTTCCCTACTCAATTGGAACATTGGAACAACTTCTTTGCTATGACAGATAAATTTAAGGGCCTAAACTAGCTACTGACGGATGTAGAGAACTCGCAACCCCCACCTACTGACAAGACCTTGTTAGTGGAAGAGGGTCAAGCTATGTTCTACTACCTAAAAGAGATGCCTGCAAACTTCCACAATAGCTGCATCAGAATTCACAATGTAGTGTTGTCCAAATGCGATGTCATCTTCAGCATAGCCATGTACAAGTCAGACTATGTGAAGCCAAGTAAACGGACACGGCGTGGGTGTGCAGAGAAGAGGATGATTAAAGGAGGCAAGACCAAACGATCATCTGACTGGAAGCAGTTCCTAACGAATGATGAGAATAAGAAACAACTTATTCAAGTTCTTCTGGATGTCTGGAGTAAGCACTACATGGCTAAGAGGCTGTATGGGGAAAATATGGGCAAAATACAACTTTCAAGTGATTTTTGACAGGTTTTGAGACAGAAATTTGCATATTAAACTATACGCAAATTTATGACATCATTAATAATTGAAGGCAATGAAATAACTTAATATAATTTTGTCTCCCTATTTTTGTATGCTTTACAAAGATTATTTCTTAATTTAGTGGAGATTAGATTAATATCTGCTGAGAAACTGGGTAAAATGTAAACACATAATTCACAAACCCTAAGAAAGTGTGCAATACACAAAAAAATGATATTTTTACATATCTTCAAATAAGGGGCAAACAAACAATGTCTACATGAGTTGACTGATACTGAATTTTTATTGGCGGGAAATATCAGATAACTTTATTATCAGCGAATAATTTTAGACCAAATTAGGGGGTTAACAAACTTATTTCATGATAATAGCAGACAAAATACAACTTTAAAGTGATTTTGACAGGTTTTGAGACAGAAATGTGCATATCAAAATATATGCAAATTTATGACGTCATTAATAATTGAAGACAATAAAATAAATGAATATATACAATTTTGTCTACCTATTATTGTATGATCAACAATGATTGTTTATTGATTTGGTGGAGATTAGACATATATCTGCTGAGAAACAGGGTAAAATGTAAGCATATAATTCACAAACCCTAAGAAAGTGTGCAAAACACGAAAAACTGACATTTTTACATATCTTCAAATAAGGGGCAAAAAAAAAATGTCCAAATGAGTTTTTTCTTGGGAACATATTTTGTATGATAAAATAGATCCCAATGAACAAAATGACACCCAAGAAGTAGGGGAATGCACGGTTGCCCCTCTGGCCCACGGACTAACTGTTTAATTTGGTTTTCAATATGTTCTACCTTTTCCTACCATGTTTTTTCATGAGCTAGTTTCATGTTCTTACTAAAATAAACCCCCGAGTGTTTTTACAAACTGATTAGAGAATGTGATTTCCTTATGTTGTTCTACATTAAATTCACCAAAATGAAAACCTTTTGATCTATTTACATTTAAAGAAGGTCCTGCTACACAACAAAAAGTTTTTAATTTACGCATGTCATTTTTTTTTAGAAATTTCGTTTATAACGAAAATTAGACAATGTGATTTCTTATATTATTGACATTAAACTCACCAAAATGAAAACCTTTTGATTTTTATACATTTAAAATAGGTCCTGCTACACAACCAAAAGTTTTTTTTTTAATACGAATGGCATTTTTTAAAGAAATTTTGTTTGTTGTATCATCATAGGACTTCTGACCTAGAGTTGGAGCTCTATTTTGACCTCTTGTCGACTGGCATCTGTAGTTATGATGAAAGAGGTTGGCCGCCAGGAGACGTATACCAGATGTATCTTGCCCAAGATGTTGCCACTCATTGATGTTTGAGTTGTGAATGAATCCCCAGTTGTTCTTTTGATTTCGTCGACTCGCCTGCTCTTGTCCGCACTCTTCCATCTGCGATGTATGGTGCCTGTGATGGTGACTAAGCACTCTTCAGCAACCACAGACTCACAAAGGACGGCCATCTCGTGTTCAACATTGCTCAGTAGCACTTTCAACAATGTTGTTGGTCACTGCGTTAATTATTAGTTCGCCGCTGGGCTTTGGCATCTCACAAGGCGGCGAAATTGCGATATCTTTCACCATAGCACCAGGTTGAAATATGCAGGTCATTCTATTTATGTTCCTCCGTGAAAGCCGCTCGCCGTTTATGTGTCTGACCATGGAGTCCCCCACCACCACAACGTCACATCTGGAGCTCTCCTTCAATTCATGATGGCGTCGACGATGTCCTAACATCTGTTTGCGATGTCGCTGTCTATGCCTATCTCGGTACTCTTTGAGCTAGTCGCTCGTTGACATCGAAGTAGAAGGCACGGCGTTAGTGCCTACAAGGACAGTATCAGGTAACTCAGACAAGCGGAGTTGGTGATGCCCTACTCGTTACTCGTTGATCTTGTCACTAGTCGACATCGAAGTAGAAGGCTCAGCATCAGTGACAGTTTATCGGCAAGGACATCGAACCTATTCTTCGAGGGGACGGTACATTTTCAGGTCGCTTATCATACCCATGGTCCGACTGTCTAGTGGGGTATGAACCCGTTATTCAAGAATATTGGCTGAATCATATACAACATTAGCTCAAGTTCATTTTTTTTAATCAAAACATGATATAATCTTTTACATCTCATCTCATCTCATCTGTCCCGTAGTCTGGCTGACCGTTGGGGCACCACTGTAAATTTTACAACCAGCTTCCTCCATTCCTCGCGGTTCTCAGCTTTCCTCCGTATGATGTTCCAGTCAAGGCCAGTCCATTCTTTGATGTTGTCTTCCCATCTTTTCTTCTGTCTACCTCTTTGTCTTCCTCCCTGTACTGTTCCCTGTAGGATAGTCTTGGCCAGTCCAGATGATTGTGTGACGTTCCCGTACCACATCAGTTTACGTCTTTTTACTGAGATCAGGAGGTCTTCATACGGCCCGATTGCGTTTTCAATTGTGTTTTTCACTACCTCGTTGGTTATGTGATCTCTATACGAGATACCGAGGAGTTTGCGGAAACATCTCATCTCCAGTGCCTGTATCCTTCTTCCAATGTCTGCTGTTAGGGTCCACGTTTCACATGCATACAGAAATATGGATAGAACTTCAAGTTTGGATCCCTCATCCGATACTATAGCTCCCAGATATTTAAAGCTACGGACTGTCTCCAGTTTCTTGCCATTTACGGTAATGTCGGTGCTGATGCCATTGGTGTTATTTGTCATCAACCGGGTCTTTTCTGCACTGATCTGCATGCCATATGACGTGGAGGCTTTTTCAAGGTGCTTTACCAAGTTGACTAGCTCCTGCTCTTGTCTAGCTAGGCCGTCAATGTCGTCAGCAAAACGCAAGTTTGTAATTGTCCTGCCTCCGATGCTGACTGTTCCTGCATGGTCTTTTAGTGCGTCATCCATCAGCTTGTGGCTTCAGTCTATTCAGGAGAATTCTTAGCATGACCTTACTTGGATGACTGATCAGGCTGATGGTACGGTAGTTTTGGCATAGTTGTAGGTTGCCCCTCTTCGGGAGAGTGATGATCAGGGACTGAGTCCAAGGTGATGGCCACTCTCTTGTCTGCCAGATCTTGTTGCAGATGATGAGCAACATATCAATCATGGCCTCTCCTCCTGCCTGGACCAGCTGCGATGAAATGTTGTCCACTCCTGCCGACTTGCCTTTCTTCAGAGATTTTACTGTGGCTTCAACTTCTTCCCGTAGGATAGGGTAGCTGTCATTGTTGGTTGGTGCATGGACATCTAGCACCTTGGGATCTCCTATTATTGTGTGTGTATACAATTTGGAACAATACTCTGTCCACCTCTTTTGAATATCTTGTTTTCCTGTTAGACATTTCCCTGCTTTGTCTTGGATGATAGTAGTTCTCCCTTGTTTCGAGCATGTCAGTTCTTTCACAAGCTGGTAGGCTTTCTTGCTGTTATTTTCCCGCAGGTTTTCTTCGATACCTTGGCATTGTTCTTCAATCCATGTCTCTTTAGCTTTTTCCATGCCTTTTTTTTAACTTGCTGGTTAACTTCTCTGTATAATTTTACACCTTCCGCCATATTCTTTTTTTTGCTTCAGTTATCTGCGTTTGTCGCATAGCTTTAGTATGTCAACTGTGACCCAGGGCTTCTTTGTTGGTCGGTGTTTGCCAAGGATGTCGCTGGCTGTTTCTGTCACGGCAGTGTTAAATCTGTTGATCAGAGTGTCTATTTCGGGGTCCTGATTACCAAGGACGAGGAGTGGAGCAAACTTTCCCCCTATCGTTGCTCGAAAAATTTCTGCGATGTTGGGGTCCTTGAGTTTTTCAAGACGTGACCTGATCCTTTTGTTGCCCTGGCTTTTCATCCTTTGGAGGCGTAGTTTGAAGGTCATCGTCGCAAGCTCATGGCCACTTCCGACGTCGGCTCCTGGAAAGCTCCTGGTCTTTGCGATGTTCGCACTTGACTGGAAGCGTCCTTTGACCATGATGTAGTCGATCTGATTGTGGTATTGTCCGCCTGGACTGTGCCATGTCCAACGTCTACATGGTTTGTGTTGGCCAAATGTGTTCACCACCTTCAGGTAATTATATTTGGCGAATTCTAAGAGCCTTAAGCCTCTTTCGTTGGTTTCATGGTTGCAATATTGGCCACATGTCCCCTTCCAGTTCTTGCTTGCGTCCTCTCCTATCTTTGCATTCCAGTCGCCCTGCACTACAATGATGTCTTTCTTTGGCGTCTGGTCTTTAACTTTTTGCAGTTGATCATAGAAGTCTTCAATTACATCGTCATCGTAGTCAGTGGTTGGGGCATAGGCTTGGATGATGGTGATGTTAAAATGCGATGCCTTCAGACGAATGGTAATGAGTCGACGAGAGACTGGTCGGCATCCCATGATGGCATTCGCAGTGTCTTTGTGAATGAGGAATCCAACTCAATGCTCATGTCTGACTTCACTGCCACTGAAGTAGAGTTTGTGGCCTTCTGGAGTAGACGTTTCTCCGAAGTTTTTCCAACGTACTTCATATAGTCCAAGGATATTCCATCGTTATCTCTCCATTTCGTGCGTTAGTTCTTCAACTTTTCCTGCTGCTCTCAGTGACCTCACATTCCAGGTGCCAATAGTGATATTGTTTCTGGCACGTCATGATTTTGGTCCATCAGTAACATATTTTTCGCCTCCGTCCTGATGGCCAGCAACGGAAGGTGCGGACTTTGTTCCGGGCGACGACCGAGCCGGTATAAATTGAGTTGTGGTTGTCATCTTCGTGTAGTGTGTCTTGGGCAATGTCGCATGGCGGAGCCCATCCCTCTCCATGCCAGACCACATCCGATATCCTCCATTTAGGTGGTTCGCCTTGATCTTGAACACGTAGCCGTTGAGTTCATGAGGGAACTTCATCCGCCTTGGCCGGTAACCTGTTTCGTGAAGGTCATTCGCCCAGTGATGCCGTGTTAACATCACCCCCTCACGGGGTTTAGCATGCCTGCTAAGGCGAGGTTCCGGGGTGTGGCGCTTGGAGCCAGCACGTGAGAGATTTAGGAGATGGATGAGGACCAGTGATACCTGTCCACCCTACCAGGTAGAGTGCAGCAGCCAGACATCAAAGCTGTTACCCCTATCTAGAGCCCTATTACATACAAAAATAATTAATCAACATATATTAACTTGATTACATCATAACGTGACTGGCTTAATGACCCCTTTATAGAAAGCTAAGCTTTTGAGCAGGGACCTATAGTCAACAAAATACATACATTAACAATATGGCGAGGTAAATAACAAAAATATTACGTTTACACAAGGGATGGACATACTAATATGCAGCAAAGAATCACATCCCATTGATGATGACAGGTAGAGGGCAAAAGCAAAACACAATAGAGGAGAATGGTCGAGACTCAACAAGGCGGTTACAAGTAGTGTGAAGGAGGACAAAAGGAATTACATCGGGGGGAAGTGTGAAGACCTAGAGCGTCACAAGAACAACTCCAAGGCAGCATTTGCAATTGTGAAAGAAATCACAAAGAAAAGAATACCAAGACTGGACGTAATTAATGATGAAAATGGCAAAACACTGACGGGGAATGTAGACATGAAGGAAAGATGGGTGCAGTATAGTACCAAGTTGTTTGCTGCACAGGAACAAGTTGACACTCAGTGGGAGGAAAGTGATGATATGGAGCCCCCTCCATTAAGATCAGAAGTGGAGCTTGCAATGAAACAACTGAATGATGGCAAGTCCCATGGCTTTGACAACTTGACTTCCGAGATGTGGAAGGCCACAGGTGAAGAAGGTATTGACCTGATGTGGCGTCTCTGTTGCAATATCTGGAATAATAGGGATTGGCCTTAGGACTGGTGTAGAGCTTTTTTTATACCATTGTCAAAGAAGGGAGATCCGAAAGATTGTGCGAATCACCGAACGATCAGCTTGATTTGTCATGCAAGCAAAATACTTCTGAAGGTGATTAGCAGAAGAATGAAAGTCAAACTGCAAGCCGAGATCTCAGATGAGCAAACAGGGTTCCGTGAAGGTGGAGGGACAAGAGAACAGATTGTCAACATTCGAAACATATTACAGAAATGCAGAGAACGCAAGCATCCCCTCTATTTGTGCTTTATAGATTATAGCAAAGCATTTGACTGTGTGAGCCACTCTCAATTGTGGAATACAATGGCAAAGATTGGGTTCCCAAGTCACATCATTAAACTGATCAAAAACCTCTATCATGACCAAGAAGCAACAGTGAGAACAAGTAATGGCAATACTGGTTTGGAATTGGCAGGGGAGTACGTCAAGGCTGTATATTGTCTCCTAACCTTTTTAATATTTACTCTGAGGACATTATGAGAAATGCTCTGGAAGGATTCAAGGGGGGAGTTAAGTTTGGAGGTAAAAAGATCACGAACCTAAGGTATGCTGATGACACCACTCTCGTTTGCAGCAGCAGAGAAGAGCTGATTTATTTGTTGAATCGCATCAAACAGGCAAGTGAAGAGAAAGACCTTCTTCTAAACACCAAAAAGACAAAAATAATGGTTGTCGATAGAGATAATAATAACACTGACTTCACCGTAGCTGGAAATAAGATTACGAGTAATAATAAGATAAAAGTACAGTAATATGTCTCACATTTGCAAGAGCAGAGGCCTATCTCTCAATCTGAAGGTTCGTCTGCTTCTAGCAACTTCTTCCTCTATTGCTACTTACGGCAGTGAGTCCTGGGCCATGACAAAGAATAACAGAAAGGGAGTTGATGCCTTTGAAATATGGTGCTACAGGAGGCTGTTGAGGTGTCATGGAAAGATAAAAAGACAAATGTGCGGGTCCTGGAAAAGATTGAAACAGACTTGACCATCAAAAGGGGAATCATGGAAAGAAAACTCAACTATTTTGGGCACATTGTTAGGAGATCTGAAAGTGTTGAGAAGCAAATACTCACACTCATACTAAATTCATTGCGACAGCACACGTAGTTGTTTCGCAATAGACTTCTACATATGGCTATGCACGTTAGCGCATGTTTTTAAAGCACATAGATCTAGACTACACTCACCAGTACCACAGACACACCATCCCAGGCCGCTAGGCCCGGCGTTCATGAACAACAACACACCGTATACCGCACTTGCAATGCGCCCCAATGCGCCCGCTGAATCACTGAAGTCTTCGCTCCTATACTTTGAATGGGTATTGCAGGCGCCGCGCGCACGATCATCCACCACCATGCTCCCCCCAAAATGCACGACTGCACGTAGTATACTACTAGTATCAAAACAGTAATGACGGCGGCCGTGTTGTTAAACAAGATGGCGGCGGACGGACCATGTGCGCGAAAGTGCCTATCCAGTGTAGTCAAATTCAGTGAACTTATGAGTAATTGCGTACGACATGCAGCGCTGTGTACGGAGGCTATGTGATAAGGCGGCATTCCCTATAATGTACTTTTATTTATCGTTTCCCCGTAGCCTTTTGATTGTTTACCGTAACGCCGTAACAAGAGCATTAAAACCGTAAAAAATACGGCGAAACCGTAACGGTTGGCATCTCTGATTACTGTAAGAAGCAGTCAAAGGAAAACGGGGTAGAGGTCGTCCACCAATATCTTGGACTGATGATATCAAGAAAGTGTCTGGACAAGGATGAAAGGTGCAACACAAATTGCAGGTGAAATAGTTGCATGGCGTACTCTCGTGAAGGCCACAGCAGCGCTTTACAGCGCCACCTGAAGTTGACGATGATGATGATGATGGACATACTAAGCTAAAGAATATAGAACACACAAATACTCTCACACATGCGCGCGCACCAACACAGATACACAGCAAACACACTGACGAGTAGGTCCTTAGTTAACAAAAACATTTGATAATGAGAAATTATTAAGATACAGAGACAAAGTATGTCAGTCTTTCAAGTAGGTGCGTATCTATAATAGTAATACGCTAAGGCTCCGCGGGGGGGGGGGGGGGGGCATGACGTCTCCGCCGGCCTTTGTATTCTATTGTTTTTTAATGAGATCGCCGACCCAAGTTGGTGCGGCTATCTCCTCCTGAACCCTGCCCTCGGGGTACCCGTGCCCGGTGCCGTCGTCCGCGGGAGAGTCTACTCTATCGAATTGGCTATACTCCGCCCGAGGTCCTCCTCCGTGTCGACGGCCAGGGCGAAAACAGACGCGACATGCATAATGCAGGATATGCGTGACGACAGAGATACCTCATGGATATTCAACATTGCATCCGTAGACACACGACAGACGACGAGCAACTCACATTAAGTTGCGTATTAAATGCACGATGCACACGGTCGGGCTTACCCGAGTAAAGCATCTTTCTATAGGATATCCTTTGTAGTAGCTGCACAAGCCACAGAGATACACACGAAGCTTCGATCCCGTCCACGTCCAAACTTAGAGACCTATTTCCATCATGATTGCCGCGATTTTGATATAGTTTTCGTGAATGGAGGTATGAAATCAAAGCTTATTTTGTGATTACTACGGCCATATAGTCTAGACCTATACTAAATTTTTATTATCATTTTCTAAAGGAAAGTTTTCACAAGAAAACCATTGGACTGACAGTTTAGTCGCAAGCTGCCTTCATACAGTGCAGGGCTTCTGTTCAGTGTGTGTGAGTTGAGACGAGCTTGCAGGAAGCTCCAACACCGGCACCGAGCACCGCAGGCGTCCGACGCCTGCGGCGCCGGTGTTCGAGCTATGGAGTTACGCTGTAGTGTGTGTGAGTTAAGCTGAGCTGAGCTCGAGTCGAAGAGATTTGCCACTTTGAAATTGTTATCTGTTGGTTTGCATCATTATTGCCGCGATTTCAATATAGTTTCGTGAATAGATTTACGAAACCTGAGCTTAGAATTAGTAAAAGTATTACTCATGTCTACGTTTTTAAACGACTACCTGATTTTCTTGTGAAAATTTTACTTTGAAGAATGATTATCGAAATTCATGGTCAGAAATAATCACAATCTAGGGTCTATTATGTTACAGTTCTTGCATCAAATCAATGCATGAAAACTTAGTTATTTAACTAGAATTTTTTTTTTTTTTTTTTAAATAGGCAATTATGAAGTAGGTAGCCTGAAACCTGAGCCTTCTAAACAAATCTCAACAAAGTGAAGGCCTATATCCTTTGATGAATTAATGAAAAAGTAGCCCCAGAAAAAAGAGCCCCCGAAAGTTGAAAAAAGTAGCCCACGAAAATTTTTCCAAAAATTTGAAATAGAGCCCCCGAAATGAAAATCTTAATTTTCTGCCTGCGCCCCCCTCCAGAATCCCGCGATTTCCGCGGGTCCTGAGTTGAGTGTATATATAATATAGGCGTGGGGTCCCCGGGTTTCAAGGGGCCATAAACCCCAAAAAGCTCAGGGGTTACGT